TGGTTGGTTGCCAGCCGGAGTGAGTTCCTTGTTGCCTATTCCTATTATTATTAATCTGGCAATCCATCTGATCTTCAGTATGGAGTGGGCGTGGGCGTGGGCAGCGTCTGTCACCGATTTAGACAGCATCGTTTCAACTACATGTGGCACAGGCAAATACCAGGATATCACAACCAGCCACAATCGAAAAGACAGCAAAATAGGCATTCATCAACCTAAAACCAGTGTGCAGATCTTCTGCACTGCACTCACTATAAAGCAAAAACAACAACCGGAATTTCAACACCAACTGACGTCAGTCAATTCAGTGCTTCTATGTGATGGTTGAGAGACTTGGCGTGTTATGAAACGCATTTCCAACGAACTACACATATACGTCATCAACAACTGCCACCTACACTCACTCCTTACTCAAGATGAGATGAGATGAGATGACATGAGATGAGATGGCGAGAATAATAAGAGAAAGGAACAAGGAACTCTTGCTGGCCAAGTGATGAACCAACGAAGCAAGAAGCTTTCGCTGAACAAATCTGCAGAAGGAAGTGGAAGTGGAAGTGGAGATGGATTTGGCATGTACTGAGAAGACGATTCGTGGAGATGACGTGCCAGGCCAGCCAGAGTGTTGAGTGGAAGCGAGATGTGAAATGGCAAGTTGGTCGTGGGAGGTGAGGGTGAGATGGAGGAGATGGTGTGTGAGGAAGAGATGAGAGCTTGTGGGCAGTGAGGTGGTGGAGTGAGGTTGAAAAGAGTTGAGAGAATGGAGTGTACTGGAGACGTGCTACTGGAGCCGTGTGTTCCATTAGGGACCCAAAGGACAAATAATAATAATCATGAGAGTAAGGCATTTCCAAATCTCCTTGGAGATGATTTACCATAACGAAAGCACAATATATAGATTGGATTAGTTAGTTTACCTATTTTTCTGAAACAAGTTTGTTTTCAAGATAAGCATTACTTCCCACTGTTTTGATGTTGAATAACTGTAGTATGTTTTTCATCATAACCCATTTTTAAAGTAATTTGGTTAGCAGCCATCTATGAACTCGTAAGGCAAACAAGACTGATGAAATTGGCACAACAATACAATCAGCTGATTGTTAGATTCACGTCTCAAGTGAAATACAATTATATACTTGATTTAATTACTTACAGCTGATAAGTAAGTCTAAATAGGATGGTACCAGCAAATCACAGTTCATCAGTGGATAGATAGATAGAAGTATCAGTACCACTTTTCAAGTTTGATTTTCAACCAGTTTTATGCAGAACTGACGGTAGATGATTTAGCGACCCTAAAGAGATTGATGCTACTTTTATGACTATCTTGTAAGCTGTTCTTTTAATCTTTTTTTTTGCATTTTCACCTTGATTTCATGATTCTTAGCCATCATCAGTAAGATGTATCTACAATGTTTACGAAATTGCTGTCCTATCTGAGGTTTGAATCAACGTCATAGACCTTAGCATTGTATTATTCAGGATTCGACTCATTACAAACAAAAAGCTTAGATCAATCACAAAATCTTGATCACTGACTTTCAGTGTTTGATATCAGAATAATAGAATGTGTTTATATCAAGGTATTTAGACAGTAGGCCTAAAATGTAATAGTTATTGAACAATATGTCCTGGAAAGATACCTTACCAATCTTAACCATAATCTTTGACTGTGGGTGAATTGATATATATAACCTTAGAGTTTCTTGAACAAAACAATGAAACATTACAGTCGATATCATCAAGTAGCTTGCCAATATGATACATACTGATCATTCATAGATTTCTAGTTACATAACTTGAATTCATTGCTGTATAAACAATCATCTCAATGATAAACTTGATCGAATCGAAAATTGGTAATCTACTTATTAATTTTTACAGGACAGGACAGTGTTAACTAAAAGATTTTCAATGAATTTAACTCTATTATAATAGGACATCTAATAACTTTCCGTAACATTCAGTCATTTTTGCTTATCATCTTCGAAACCAGTTGCCATTGAAAGGTTGAACGTTTACGACGAACCTTTAAAAAGATCTCTACAATATATAACGGTATTGTTGTGCTAATTAGTATACAACTGACTGATACAGTTAGTGATAACCTCTAATGAGGACTTGGCTTTCAAATATGATCTCAAGTTCCTTGTCTTTCTCTTTCTATAACTTTATAGGGTCTCTTAGTTATCTCGCTGTCTACAGTACACTGTATTTATCTGTCAGAATTCAAGTAAGATGATATTGTAACTTTTCAAAGTACATTGAATAAAGCATACCTGAATATTGGCTTCTACAAATTTGAGTCAACCTGAACTCATCCATCAGTTATTACTTATTTCTGAGACGATATTTTTATTCAATGAAAATTCTGATCCATTCACTACTAGATATGTGAGAAATAGTATTAGATTTAATGAAGTACATCGTAAATGGCCGAGTAAATTAGTTACCTGGTCACATAGACTGGTTATTCCTTTGAATGTATGCGTAGTTCTGAATGAAAACAGAATTTCTGCATACCTTATTGTAGTATCTATCAGTGGGGTCAGGAATTGCGATACATCCTATGTAGGACTCTTCAGCCGGATATACATGCCTCCCATTGGGTCATGTTCTTCTTCTTCTTATTATTATTAGTCCCTTGGGTTCCTAGTGGAACATAGGGCTTCACTTGCACGTCCCCAGTGAACTCTCTTCTCTGAAATCTTTTCCACCTGGCTCCACGACAGCCCACAACCTCTCATTTCCTTCTCTCACGATCTCCTCCATGTCACCCTCACCTCGGATGCCCAACTCGTCGCTTCCCATGGGGATTCCACTCGAGTACCTGGCCTGGTGGATGATGTTCCCAGTCGGCCTTCTCAGTGTATGCCCAATCCATCTACACTTCCTTCCACTGTATATTTGTTGGGTGATAGGTTCTTCGTAGGTTCGTTCCCAGAGCTCCTTGTTGCTTATTCTTATTATTCTGGCAATGCATCTGATCTTCAGTAGCAAGCCAGCGTAGGCAGTTGTTGATGAATATCTGTAGTTTATTGGAAATCCCTTTCGTAACGCGCCAAGTCTCTGAACCATACACAAGCACTGACTTGACTAGGTTGGTGTTGACAATCCGGATGTTGTTCCACATGCTGAGTGCAGTGGAGTAGATCTCCACACTGGTTTCAGGTTGATCAACGCCTGTCTTGCTTTTCCGATCCTGCCTGACTTTGCCATCTTCGTCTGTGCCTGTGCTGCCTGTAGTTGAAACAGTGCTGCCTGCCTAGATAGGTGAAGGAGGTTACTTCCTTTAACTTTCTCCCCTTGATGGTGACTGGAGTTTGTTGTTGTTGGTGGTGGTGGTGCGGTATCTTCATCACCTCCCTCTTCTCTATATTCACTTGAAGTCCCGTCTTCGCTGGTGATAGACCTCAATTCAAGTACAACACTCGGAAACTGAAAGATGAAACTGCAAAGGAGATCTTCAAGTCAGCCATCAAGACAAAGTGGGAGATATCGAGGAACATCCGTGAAGAAACCTGTGTGGAAGAACACTGGAAGTCTTTGAAAGAGATGTGGAAAGAAACCTGCACAGGCGTATTAGGAAGTAAGAAGAAAGAAGACAAGGAATGGATCTCGACGGATACCTGGAAGCTGATAGAGCAGGGAGAGGAGGATGGTGATGCAGAAGATAAACCAGTGCAAGGATGCTCAACGAGAAGAGGAACTGAGCACAATGTATAAAACACTACACTGGACAAAGAAGTGAAGAAGAGTGCACGGAAAGACAAAAGACACTTCTACGAAACACTGGCAAGTGAAGCATAACAGGCTGCAGGTAAGAGAGACAGAGACCTGACGACATTGTATCAAATAACCAGGTTGTTATCTGGGAAGGGATCAACACAGATGAAACCAATAAAAGATGATGAAGGAAATTTAATTACTAAAGAAGAGAAACAAAGTAAACAATGGGCCGACCACTTCATGTTATTACCACCAAAATCTGAGCCTACGAATATTTCTTGCAAGTATCAGAACGCTATCCACCAAGCCACCTTTTAGCTTACATATTATTGTTTATGGAAATCACAGCTTTATGATAACAATGCATATAACATATCTAGAATGTTGTTATCATTAAGGACTATGTATAATATAACAATGGTCACTATGTAATAAATGATCCCCCCAACCCCATTCGGATCAAGTGTAGGTTTCCAGTTTTGAATAGATATAGAACACATGTCAACTATAAGAGTTTCTATCAAAATGGTTAACATAGACATTAGCTGTGTAAAGTTGAAACGATCAAGTAAGTTAGCAAAAGGGATTCAATTTAAGTATCTCTTCAATGTTAACAAGTTAAAGATTTATTGAATTTGTTGTTCCACATTATTATTGATTATTTACACATTGATCTTTGCTTCCTTTCTGATATGGTCTTCCTTCCCTCTCAGATCTGAAAGATAAGGTGATTTTATTCAATGATTGTAATGGAAACGAGTGTTTAGAATACATGTTTTGATAATATTTATATAAATCAATTATGCTACTGAATTATGAAATAAGTAGCTAAAAGAATTGCAGACAATTTGTATGGTTTTGAACAGTACAAATTGAGTGTAGGTGTCTTATGCAGTCTGATCACATATTTTTCACATCTAGACCATGCTAACTGTGAAAATGCTTGTCTTTTACTTATCTGTATGAAGTTCGTTAGCCATTTTGACCTAGTAATATCCTAGATGCTTCACTTACTTGATGAAACACTGAGTATATTCTCTTCTCTTCTCGATTAGTAAAGGGGTTCAAGATAAACATTTCATTCTGTATGGAACAAATCAACTGGATATACTTCGATCTCAGTGAGTAATATTCTCTCTCATCACCTGGATTCGAACTCACAATGTTACCTACTAGTCCTTTATAAGGATTTATAAAATGGGTATCTGTTATTGTTCATTGATATCCTTAAAATGATCACTTTGGTCAACTTCCTGTCGATATGTAGCCTCCTATACAGATTTATTGATACTATATGTGGATATTGAAGTGATGAAACATGATAAATCAGGGGGGGAGAAAACAAAGCCTACACATAAGACTGTAGTATACTACAATCATATCATATGAATGAAAGGAGAAGACTTACTAAATTTTTAAGATATTTAGCTGAAGGTTGCTGTGGGACTGCACACAACAGAATTGAATTACGATAATAATATGTATGAAGTTTAAATATTTCCTCCAAGTCTTTACGAAGACTGGGTTTACAAATGATAGTAGTAATTAACAATACTGTGAATATTATTACTAATAGATGAGTAAATTTAGACATGATCTTTATCACCTTTTTTTCTTTTTACCAGGAATAAAAGAATTTAGTATTGTACAATTTTACTATATACTACTTATAGGTGGTTATTAACATCAGTAAGATTACATATTGATTAGATGCTGAAAACCCTTTCTACACTCTTATTTATGAGATATAACTGACAGAAGCTATTCCATTTCTTAATCATTCAATAACACAATGACAACTTATCACGGAGTCAAATAATACTTCAATTATCTTACAATTGACAATTACTGACTACAAAAAACACTCAATTTATATTGTTCACAACTAAATATCCAATCTCAGAGAACATCATAGTGACATCATCTTTATCTTGAGCTACAAGTCAACTGGTTTCAGTTTCACTCTTCTCCAAGCAACCATGATGGTATGATAGGTCCTTACTGAATACGATTCCTAGGACGCAAAGCTATGATAGGACGGAGTGTGTGTCCTGGATTCATCTGTTAGTCACCTACATCAAAATAACATCATGTATACCTCTTATTATCGAGACATCCGCATAATCGAGCAGTTTGACCCGTATATAGTAAAGAGGAATTCCAAGTATCATAACAACCACCTGACGGTTACCTCCAACCAAATAGTATCTGTTAAAGTATACTGTGAAGGGTAGTCTCCCAACTCAGCAATTAGGACAAGTCAACTTGAAATTGGTTATACTAATCTCGGTGAGTAACAGAAGAATTCAGGACGTGCGTTTCCATCTGTCGCGGATTCGGTAGATGTAGATGTACCAGCACCCGGCTTGATACCGTCTACTTTCTGCTCATAAATTACTCTGACTACTGATTTTATATAAGTAGCTGAAATAATCAACAGAAATATTTCTACGAACAATAGCAAGATTCTCTGTTATGATAAATATTGTATCCTATAAAAACGCAGCCACAACTTTTTTCATGAACGACAATATTTCATTGAAGACACAATAGGCAGATGTAGAGGAAGAAGGAATTTTATTGATTTTACTGATATTTAATCCTAAGGGACCAGGAAATGGAATTTTATTCAATTATAACTGTCAGTAGGTCTTTTGTTTGTTCTAGACTATCCGATTGTAATAGACGGCATCAACTAACTCCTTACAATAATTCACCCATTATATCTCATCACAATTTCATGACAAATTACTAGTAAATACCATTTGACTGTCTGATATTACCCTTCTCAATTAGACGAAGATGGAAATTCATACTTGTGGTTACGATTCAATTTACACCACATGAATGTCAACACAAAAATGTGTCAATATCACAAACCACATTCAGAAATACTAACAATGACTAAAACACTCAATCACAATTAAGACTGATATATTTATGGATAATCACAATTCACACATCGATCTAACACACATGGAACGAAATCAAATCCCGTGTAATTGTCTACATTCACTGAACTTCAGAATCTCTATCTGCTTCTCCATCACCAAGGTCATCGATTCCTGTGAATACAAAATAACATCAGGAGATGAAAAGTTGTTAGATGATGAGATATTGAAAATGAATACATCATGAAGTGAATATCCGTTGAAATATGAAATGACAATTCTACTACAGTCTATACTCAAAATACATGATTACAAATCTGGATTGTGTGTATAGGTGAATATCCAATGTTCTCTCGATGCTGAACATGTTGGCCATCAATACAGACATCTCTAGCCGACTATCCTACTGATGGGTTGACAGTGACTACAGATGGCGAGTTCACATATCGAAATCTAATGACAATGTGACATGTTACACTAATCCTTTTCATTTATTCCCATCACCGATGCATATCTCGTCATTACTGGTGAAGAAATGTGAGGTGGCGATTAATCAAAATACTACATCTGGCATGTCATCCAACTGAAATGGAGATCAACTCCATTCGACATTTACGAAGTTGTGTAAACCATCTAGAAAACTCGTGTTGAACATCGTCTCACACTTGCAATCCACATCCCAGTAGGGCAACTCAAGTAGGCAATCCAACTGGAAATTGTGTACATGACGATGCATGCTTACACATATGCAGTCAGACGCCTTGTTGTAAGCCCAACCTGAATATCGTAACAAATATATCAGGAAAATTCAAGCTTCTCACAAATTCACTATTACCGAATTCATTACAAGCACATACAAGACATGTCACACACATGTCAAGTGACTTCATTACAACTGCATGAACAAGATTTGTTGGAAATGTGAAAATGTGTGCTGTGAGATAATATGCAGACATACACCATCATGACATTCTACAGCTATTACGCCTACATCGACTCCCAATGCAAATTGAGAGTGTTTCCATACCCCCCACAAATGCAAAATTTGAAGGCCACATTCGATTGAATCTTGTATAATTTTATATGATTTTGGAATGAATATAAACCTCCACGTCACCCCTTCAATCATCAATGTAATAAATGCGTAGTAGTAGTGGTAGTAGTAGTTCGAAAGGTAGTTTATATGCAAGATTATTTGACTGACTGATTTTGAAAGGAGGCGAGATATTTTTGAAGGGGGTGTTGTTGTTAATGGAATGGAATGAGCAATGATGAGAAATTATACGTTTGACACGTGAAGTAGAATTGTCTCATTCTCTGTGAATTTCACCTTAGCACAAGTGCTGTGTACCGATTTTGACAAGCACCATCATCACCATCATCATGATTGTGATCATGATTTGGTTTTCAAATGAATAACAGGCTGCAACATTTGAACAGGTCAAGCATTTCTATAATGGATCCACTTCATGCGCCATCATCATCATCATGATGATTGTGATCATGATTTGGTTTTCAAATGGATAACAGACTGCAACATTTGAACAGGTCAATTATTTATCATGAAATTTGTAATCTCATGCTGATGCTGAAAGTGATATGGAGTAGGAGTAGGCGTAGGGGTAGGGGGTTGTGGTGTTGCAGTGACAAGAAAAAAGGTGGATGGTATGAACGAAGAAAATTCATTTCAATTCAATTCAATTCAAATCGACTCGAATCAAAATCATCATCATCATCATCATCATCATGTGTAATTTATAATGTGATAACATCCATTGTATATTAAGTTGTATGCATAGTTAGTTGGCTGTGTGTCAAGCAAGGGAGAACTAAGTGCTGTATATTGAGAGTGGAATCCATGTGGTGATTGCGTTGTGTCACTTCAAATTATATAAATGATGGTGGTTTACGGGATGGGAGAGTTGTGAAGGGGGTGGCGGGTTGGGGGGTGGGCGAACTGCCTGATTCTCACGTCTCGTTTGCGGAAAGGACAGAGAGAGGGGGACTGACTGACTGACTGACCAACTTGTTCATGAATGGTCGTCAATCGAGACCAATGGCGCACGTTGAAAGTCAGTATTAGTAGTAGTAGTAGTAGTAGTAGTAGTGGTAGAAGTAATACTGAATATAAATAGCCGAGCCGAATATCACATGCTTAAAATAATAATTAGAGCGAGAGAAAATTGTTTTCGGCTAATTGGTTGGTGCCAAGGGGAAAAGTGGTTTTCGTTAGCTGCACTATTATCGCTAGTATCCTTTTGATGATGATGAAGAAGAAGTCTGTCACAGTCTATCATAAGCAAAAACAAGAGCTGCTGCAACTTCGACAAGAGAAGGAATTTGACAAAGCATAGGAAGAAGAAGAAGAAGAAGAAGAAGCCCGAGAAAGTGTTTGTTATTCAGGCGTTGACCACTAAATTATCAGTCAGTCAGTCAGTCAGTCAGTCGGCAGAGAGTGACCGGTCGGAGAAGTGAACACAAAAATCTTGATTCTGCTGTCAACTGAATTCATTATCCTGCTCTACACAAACTCATCTCACCTTTGCATCAATCTCATTGCTTTACAGGGAGTAAGAGAACAAAGTAGAAGGAGACGAGGAAGAAGAAGAAGAAGAAGAAGATCTATTTTCTGCTACAAAAGTCTATATCTCTTATTACCCGAAATTGTGGTCGAGTGAGCACAAGAATTTTATCTATCCTCTGCTAAACACAATATATCTCATAAACGTGAGTTTATATGACATTTATTATTATTATTATTACTATTATTATCTTCATGGGCTCACTTTTGAATCACGTTATATTTGATAACCAGTCAGTCAGTCAGCCAGACAGCCCGCCCACTAGGAGGAGGTGGAGGAAGCCAAGAGAGAAATAAATAATAGCTGGTAGCTAAATTATCATTATTAACATTATTATTATTATTATTATTATTATTATTATTATTATTATTATTATTATTATTATTATTATTATTACTCGACATATTCTTCAATCAAATGGATAATATTGACTAGCCTATTATGCGAGTAGAGTGAATTTACGATCACATGAGATGAGATGAGACCTGTTGAAATGTTTGTTATTTGTTCTCTAGTCATTATCCCCCGATGTTGATGACTGACTGATATGCGAACGAGATGTGTGAGGAATGACCGACTGACTGACTGAGTGAGTGGGTGGGTGAGTGGGTGGGTGGGTGGCTAGGGCTGGTAATATCCTAGATAATACAAATTAGTGGTTGACTGACTGACTCTGGGTGAAATGGGCCAGAATGGCACAGATTTAGTCACTCTTTTACGTCGTCTTCTAATCTAAAGCTAAGCTTGACTAGGTGTGATATTTTCAATTTCCCTCTTCCTCTTCTTCTACTTCTCATTGCCTTGCCTTGCCTTGCCTTGTTTTGCATTGCCTTGCTTCCTCCCCAATATACACTTTTTGTTTGGCTACTTTGATGATATGAGTCTTTTCTCTGACATTGCTACTACTCGTGTGGAATTCGTCGGCAGCTAACCTTAAACGATCGATCCATCGATCCACTTGTTTACTTTACTTGCAAGGCTTTACAATGATTTCGTCTATCTGAAAACTTTGTCTCACCCTAACCTCCTTACTTTACAGACAGACAGACAGACGACTGTGGGTGTCAAGCCTTATCATCAATTAATTCTACAATAATAGAACGAAAATATTACCTACTTACTTACTTGGTAGATGTAGATGTAGATGTAGATGTAGATGTAAGTAACTCCTTTATGACTTGAGCAATTTGATGATTGTGAAATGATCGGCTGGTATAGACAGACAGTTGGCGGATTCCAGTCCAGTCCAGCGGTTGAAGGCTGATAGAGGAGAGGTAGTGAGGGGGGAATCGATCAATCAACCACTAGAAACCAAATCTATCCAGAAGTTTAACAAACAGATAAATCAAACCTTGAAAAAACTCTTCAAAGCATTAGAAATAATGAAGCAAGACGAATGGTGAATGAAATCGAATGAACCTATCCTTCCTCGATTCTACGACAGACCAAAGCTACACAAATCCGATATCCTCTACGACCAATAGTCTCACTTCCGGGAACTCTAACATACAACATATGAAGCGAGGAATTAATGGTATCCTTCGATGTCACAACACTATACATATACATTGAACCCCAAATGGTCAAAGAAACAATATCCCTCCTGTTCAATGAAGACACAAGCCTCTCAGAATGCACCAAATAATAAATGTTCAAGTCTGATAGAACTCATCTACCTTTGTCTAACAACATACTTCCAATTCAATGGTAAGATATACAAACAGATGAAAGGAACTCCAACGGGATCACCGATATACGGACTGATTGGAGAAGCAGTGATGCAGAGGTCGGAAGCCATCGTTCTACGTAGATTCGCTATATATATATATATAAATGCTTTTGAAGTTAAGACAGGAGTAAAAGAAGGCTGTCTACTACCATTCATGATCTTCCCGATTTTGGCCGACTGGATGATGTGACAAACAGTGAGGAGCGAGAAGAGAGGGTACGCTAAACCACGGAAAAGAAGCTAAAAGGTTTAGATTTCGCCAATGAATTATGTCTAATGTCACACAAACACGAAGTTCTACAGGCGGAAACTAACAAGTTGACAGATGAGGCTGGGCAGCGAAGACGGGACTTCAAGTAAATATAGAGAAGACAGAGGTGAGGATGATAGCGCACCAACAACTCCAGTCACCATCAATGGGAGAAACTTAAAGGAAGTAGCCTCTTTCAGCTATCTACGTAGCACTGTTTCAAACAAAGGCGGCAGAGACGAGGACGTCATAAGCAGGATCGGAAATAGAGCAAGACAGGCGTTCATTAGCCTGAAACCAGTGTGGAGATCTTCTGCACTCAGCACAAAGCGTGAAGAATATCCGGATTCCCAACACCAATCCACCCAAGTCAGTGCTTCTATGTAGCTGAGAGACTTGGCGCATTACAAAAGGGATTACCAAAAAATTACAGATATTCATCAACAACTGCCTACGCTCACTAATTATTAAAGCTCAGATGGCGAGAAAGAATAAGCAACAAAGAACTCTAGCGCTAGAACAATGAAGGAAAAACCTATCGCTCAACAAATATACAGTGGAATGAAGTGGAGATGGATTAGCCATACACTGAGATAGCCGAGTAGGGACATCATACACTAGGCTAGACACTCTAGTAGAACCCAGATGGGAAACGACGAGTTAGGCATCTAAGGTGAGGTTGATATGCAGCCAGGTTCAAAAGTTTTCAGAGAAGACAGTGCACTGGAGATGTGCTACTGAAGCCCTATGTTCCATTAGGAATCCAATGCATAAATTATATATATATATATATATATATATATATATATATATATATATATATATATATATATATATATATATATATATATATATATATATATATATATATATATATATATATATATATATATATATAACAAGGTTGCCTACTATCCCCCATGATATTCTTGATTGTGGTGGACTGGATCATGCAGCAAACAGTGGGGAGCTGTGAGAAGAGGGGCATACGCTGGACTAACGAAAAGAACCTAGAAGACTTGGATTTCGCCGATGATGACCTGTGTCTGATGTCGCACAAACTTGAAGATCTACAGGCAAAAACTAACAAGTTGATACAAGAAGCAGCGAAGACGGGGCTTCAGGTGAATATAGAGAAGACAGAGGTGGTGAAGATACCTCACCAACAACTCCAACAACAACAAACTCCAATCACCATCAACGGGAGAAACTTAAAGGAAGTAACCTCCTTCACCTATCTAGGCAGGCAGCACTGTTTCAACTACAGGCGGCACAGATAAGGATGTCAAAGTCAGAATCCGAAAAGCAAGACAGGCGTTCATTAACCTGAAACCAGTGTGGAGATCTTCTGCAGTCAGCATGCAGAACAAGATACGGATCTTCAGCACCAACCAAGTCAAGTCAGTGCTTCTGTATGGTTCAGAGACTTGGCGCGTCACGAAAGGGATTTCCAATAAACTACAGACATTCATCAACAATTGCTTATGCTCGCTACTGAAGATCAGATGGCCAGAATAACAAGAATAAGCAACAAGGAACTCTGGGAACGAACCAACCAAGAACCTATCACCAAACAAATATGCAGTGGAAGGAAGTGGAGATGGATTGGGCATGCACTGAGAAGGCCAACTGAGGACATCATGCGTCAGGCCAGTTGCTCGAGTGGAATCCCCATGGAAAGCGACGAATACATAATAATAATATATATGATGTTAAAAAGGATAGTAGAATGTTACACAAAAACTCATATCTTATAAGTTAATACTTACCAGTTTTATCAATAGCTAAAAATTTCACCCATATATGTAACATTGCACGCATAACAGCATCACTACGTCTTCTGTCTAAATGAGCTCGTTGAACAAGATATTGACCAATTTGTAATAAATCATGACAATGTAATTTCATTGTTTCATTAATATCTAAACGTCTATACATTGTACGCATTTTACTTTCCCATACAGGACCACAATCTAATGCACCGTAATCTTCAGCACGTTTATAATTTAATAATGGTCCCCATAAATGTAAATTTTTACTCTTCTCATTATTAGACATGAAAAAATCTATAAAAATTGTTAAAAAGGTTTTTTTATTCATTTTATTAACATCTGAATTTAGACGAAATAATAATTCACAATCTTTTGGTATAGATTTCATTGCAATCATAAGTGTTTGAAATTCTGATGCAGTTATCTTATCATCATTATCTTGATCCATTGTATTAAATAATGGTGTAATAAAATATTTATCAAAATCTTGATAAAATTTACCTTTTAATCCTTTTAACATATTATCAATAAATGTAGATTCATTTAAATTCATTGTAGTTGCTAATTGTCTTGATACATGTGTACATATAACTTCATACCATAGATATACTAAGGTTTTAACTAATTCATCATATTTATATGCTGACATTTTTGGATAAATATTGAATATTGTTGTACCAACTTCAAGAATATCATCAACCATTAAATAACCATGTCCAGATGAATCTAATCTACGGAATAGTGTACGCATTTTACGTATCCATATAGGACCACCAGTTATTTCAGGATAATCACTCGTCATTATTATTATTATTATTATTATTATTATTATTACTATTCAATTTAATCAGTACAATATTTATTAAGGATAAATACTGATAAATAACCAATAAGGGAATAGTTGAATAGATATTACATAGATGTACATGTAGGCGTAGATAGGTGGATAGGTAAACAAGCATACAAATCCCCCATTGAATACGCCTACTAGATTCACATATTGGTGCATATTGATGCAGAAAATATAGTCAATATACAGTTATACCCCAGTTTCATTTGATTGGTTTTTATTCAATCTTATCTTATCTAAACACGAACTACTATTATTCACTTAAATGTTAGAAACAAACAATGTCATATGCTGAATTTCATCTTTCATTTGTATGTCTGTACTAGTTGAACTAATCACCGGTTTGATTATTCATTATCTGTTCGCCAATGTATATACATCTTATGCTCGCTACTGAAGATCAGATGGATTGCCAGAAAGAATAAGCAACAAGGAACTCTGGGAACGAACCAACCAAGAACCTATCACCCAACAGATATGCAGTGGAAGGAAGTGGAGATGGATTGGTCATGCACTGAGAAGGCCGACTGAGGACATCATGCGTCAGGCCAGTTGCTCGAGTGGAATCCCCATGGGAAGCGACGAGTTGGACGTCCCAGCTGAGGGTGACATGGAGGAGGTCGTGCGAAGAGGAAATGAGAGCTTGTGGGCTATCGTGGAACCAGGTTCAAAAAATCTCAGAGAACAGAGATCACTGGAGACGTGCTACTGAAGCCCTATGTTCCACTAGGAACCCAAGGGACTAATAATAATAATAATGTATATACATATCTGATATGAAGTTATGCTTCTAAATAACTTCAATGACCGGTGGAGTCAAAGCCTGATGGCCATGAGGGCACATACTCAACGATGACATTGGGTGGCGGTTGCGCTATATGGAGCATTGGATTCTGACCCAGTGGCTCAATGGTAATGCGCTGGCCGCGGAACCTAAAGGTAGCGGGTTCGGTCACTGCTGGTGTAGGGTCGTGGGTGCTCACTGCTGAGGAGTCCCGTACTAGGACGAAATAGCTGTCCAGTGCCCTCAGGTTTCCTTTGTTCCTTTCCAACTGATGTCAGTCAACGATGAATAACAACTTGAAATATTTAAGAGTTGGGATTATTGTCTACATTTTTCGAAGAAAAACACTAGGAAGAAATAAGTAAAGGAAGGTTGATCTTCAGAAGAGAAAAAAAAACGATAATTCAAGCTTCGATATGATTTCAATGATATACCATCATTCCAAAAGATGCACTGAATAACACTTATGTCATTAAAACCACAAAATATACATTCCAGACTAATCACTTCACATTAAAATCCCAACTATATGAATAGACTAACTGAGTAGCTATTGCTCAAACTGGAAGAAAGTATTCTACTACAAGTAGGAAGGTCGAATGTTTGTCCAACAAATCCCGATGATATCTGTGCAGTACAGCAATGTGACACGTATCATACATGCATCCTAGAAACATCAAGTTTAGGTAAGAAAGACAATCGAAACAAAATGAACCATATCCTGACAAGTGGTCGTCTGGTTAATTTCGGAACAACCTTAACAACCTACATCAAAATTCTGAAAAAAAGACCTGAGAGCTGCAGACCTCTGGTATGAGACAGGGATCACAGACAGAAATTCATCAGCAAATATGGAAGATCTCAAGAAAAGAAGCTCGACTTCAAAGGTGACTTCGTCTGCAGAAGAATTAATTCATCAACTAAACATATCCTGTGGTCAAGTTGATCACTTCCGATTAAATAAAACTCTTCGACACAATCAAAAGTCGACAGGCTCACTTCGCCATCTACCTCTATTTATGTAGACATCCTCACCTGGATTTCTGGTCAGAGTTACATCATGAGAAAATACAGAATAGCAGACATTACATTTGTTAGACGTCTTCGGTGAACAGATGGTTTCAACAGTCCACCAACTCGACATCTCACCCACATCCAACATGAGTCGCATACAACGAAATTGTTGAAGATAAACAACATCCAACGTAATTTGATTCTCCTCAGGTTGATCAAGACTGTGGTGATCAAACAACTGACTAAATCATCTTGGATTTGTGAAAATATTTGATGATCACTTCACCAATTGAGTTCAACCCATGAGATTAACACATAATTTGCTTGTTACTTACCACCAGCTAACCTACTTGTGAATATTCTCACATTTCCATTTCCCGTTAACAAACTTTATTCAGCTGCAACAAATCATGTTCAAATTGTTCCTTGATATGACATATGAATGTTTTCGGTTGTAAGCGGCTGCAACAAAACGGCGAAAAAACTGGTATCATATTATACTTCTGCAAGCGTTGTTCTCCTTTTCGTCAGGATAATGAGGGGGTTCCTAATGGAACATAGGGATTCAGTAGCACACCTCCACTGCACTCTCTTCTCTGCAGTCTTCTCTTTTAACCAGACGCCACGACTGTTCACAAGCTTTCATTTCTTCATCACATGATCTCCTTCACCTCACACTCAACTAGGAAGACCAACTCATCGTTTCCCCTTGCATTCCATTCGACCGCCTGACCTGTCGCGTGGTGTCCTCAGTCAACCCTCTCAGTGTGTGCACAATACATCTCCACTTCCTTCCAGTGCATATTTGTTGGGTAATAGGTTCTTGGTTGGTTCGTCGCCAGCCAGCCAGAGTTCTTTTTGTTTATTCTGTCTTGCCTTGTGATCTCCGGTATCGAGTGAGCGTAGACAGCAACTGTTGATGACATATGTCTGAGGTTTGTTGGAAGTGCTTTCGTGAGGCGCCAACTCTTTCAACCATCACAACGAAGCATTGGCTTGACTGGATTGGTGTTGAAAATCCGGATCTCGTTCACGCTTTATGCTGAGTGCAGTACATCTCCACACTGATTTCAGGTTAGTGAGAACCTGTCTTGTTTTTCCAATCCTGGCTCTGACATCCTCTTCTGTATTGCCGCCTGTATTTGAAACGATGCTGCTGAGGTAGGTGTGTGAAGGAGACTACTTCCTTTAGGTCTCTCCCACTGATGGTGATTGGTGTTTGTTGTTGTTGATGCTGTTGTCGGTTGGATATACTCATCACCTCCGTCTTCTCTATATTCACTTGAAGTCCTATTTTCGCCTCCTCACCTCTTCTGTCAACTTGTTGGTTTCTGCCCATAGATCTTCGAGATTGTGTGATATTAGACACAAGTCATCATCGTTGGCGAAATCCAAATCTTCTAGGATGTTTTCCCCTGTCCAGCCTATCCCACTCTTCTCACTCCACACGGTTTGCTGCATGATCCAGTTCAATACAACCAGGAAGATCTTGGGTGACGGTAGGCAGTCTTGTCTTACTCATTCCTGTCTTCACTTCAAAGTTGTCGCTGAGCTTCCCATTGTCAATCACATGGCATGTAGCATCTTCATATACTTGTTGAATGAGGTTGATAAAGATTTGTAGCACTCCGTAGTGTTGAAGCAGCTGTCAGCCAAAATACTTCTCTGTCAACACTGTTGAAGGCTTTTTCAAAGTCGATGCAGTTGAGGTAGAGAGTTGACCACCAGTCTATACTCTGCTTTTTAAAGGGGGAAAATACATATACAACGTTTGTTGAATTAAGTAACGAGGAAATATTCGTCAAAGCAACTAGATAACTTTCATTCACACGAAAATTGCCCATTTCCATTTTTGTATAATCTACCAAAATGTTCTCAGTGAGTTGGCGCGAAATTCAGTTCACATCATACTTTCTCTTACTTTCCTTGCATCTCTTTCTTTACAAATGAACCTTAACTATTAGCATATTTTTGCGAGAAATCCCTCCAATGTTTTACCAATGGATTCAGTTTGTAGGCTGATATCTCTGACCTTTCTTAGTTTAATTATCTTTCGAATAAACTGTCACTTCTTCCAAAGTAATCAGGTCGATAAACATTGAAGATGTTGAAGAATGATGAATAATCATGCTTTAATTAAAGTCACAGATACACGACAAAGTATATCAATACTAGGAAGTGCATGTTGCAATATATTTGACAATATACTTAAGAAATTCAGAACCACAAATTGGTTGAATCGATATGTTGTCACTTTGAGAACATCGACTCCTGTTCAGATGCTTCGCCATCACCGATAATTTCACTGAAATAATAATGATGGATGGTGGTTAGTAAGAGACTGCAGGGATGACGTTTCATCCTACTTGGGTGGGAACGACGTTATGTTAAATCAAGCATTAGTGGAGAAAACACGAAACAGTTGTGGTGTTTTTCGTTAGGGGATGAGTACAACGTGTAGATGAAAAAAGGGGGTAGGGGGGGAGGGCGGGAGAATGCAGGCTGATAAGTGGGTTTTCATTTCTCTCAACTGGTCTATCTCTCTCTCCCTCTCCCTCTCCCGCACCCTCTATCACATACACACACACACACACACCTGGCTGAATCTCTGTGATCTCCTACAACATTGAAACTAGTGAATTCCTCCTTGAAGTAGAATTCCTATTTTGTGATGTTTGAAAAGAAAACTCCTCCTGTCAGCAAAACAACTTCCATCTTCATTGTCTTCACATCTTCTTCACTCCTAAACAAATGAAAGACAAAACAAGTCTGTCAACTTTTATCTATAGAAAAAGCTCAACGTGAAATCAATGTCAGAAAAAGTGAACACTGAAAGAGGTTTCCAGTCAACACTCTGCATATCCAGTAGACATTCAAAAACTTGAAATCACCTTGGTTATAGTTTGACTCACCGAAACTACACATCACATAATCCACTTTGATAAAATCGAAAGTATTCAGGAAACTGTAATAAATGTCTCATAAATATAAAACTTTTCTCTAGCATATCTCTCCATCATTATACACTAGTGTGTCAACAAATGAAACTCCAGATATTATTCTAATTTATTAGACTACAACACTAACCTGACAGAAAGATATCCATTGAATACCAGTGACATCATCAACGCCTGAAAATATCCATTCCACATTG